ACTGAGTAGAGCTAACAGTTGAAAATTATCACATTTGTAAGGATTTTATCATTGAAAGTATTTTCGAATGAATTACTAATCGAAATTTTATTTGTAATCGCCATCAGTGATTGGGTGCAACTTCGTCGTAGAATTGGGAGCAATGATTAGGCTAACAAATATTTTATGGGTTCGTAATTTAGGTTGTTTAATCAAAAACGTAACGCTGAATTAAGCCACTTGCAACATTTTAGTGAAGGTATACGTAGTGATGAGATGAGGCAGTGAGGCGTTTGCATCGTTCAATCCTGCCTCGTCTTTCATTGCTATGTGATTACATTCAACACTACCGCCGAATTTGATCTAAAATATCGTCAGATCCAATATAAATTCCAAATAATTAGCGATACATTTCGAGGATCAACATTCATGATATTAATCTAGCCGTTAGTTTATTGTTTACATGGGTAATTGCTTGACTTCAATTCATTCATCTATTTGAGCATTGATCATTCATCTATTCAAACATCAACAGTCGAAATGGACACTGTTGATTCTAGGATTACGGGGGTTATCCCCCGTCCCACCATGGGAGGATGGAAGAAAGGGAAAAGAAGAGGGAAAGAGAAAGGAAAGAGAGGAGAAGATAGAAGGAAGTGAGAAAAGAAGAAATGAGGAGAAGAAAGGAGGGAAGGAGAACGCAGAAAAAACAAACTCGGAAAAAGACAGTAATTTTTCAGTTATTTTTTTGCACCGAGCCATTTGCTCTCCCTCCCCCTCTTGGAAAAAATCCTGGCTGCGCCACTGCAAGAATATAATTGATTTTTCAAAAGGAAAATAATAAGCGACCTCATCTGCCCACAAAATGAATTAACGTTCAAGCGCATTTCCCAATGGAATGAAAACTCATAGTGGTGTATGAAAACTTATATATTCAACATCTTTTTTGGACCAGCATCCTTTCGATCATTTTTCGTAACCCAAACAAAACAATTCAAAAATTGGGTCACAAATATGAACGCTCGTTGAAAGCTATTTCACAGTTGTGCTAAAAGAATACCTCAAATGATTTATTCGAGCCAATTTCAGCTATTCACTGCAGCTGATGGAATTTCAATTTTTTCAAGAATTTATTCCCTACCAATTATCACTAGTGCTAGGCGTAGTGCAGTATTCTAGATTGTTTTATGGTGTAATGCAAACGAAATTGAATCATTGACAGCAATGAATTACGTTCGAATGAAATAAACAAATAAACGTTGAATTGTTTTTGATTACTGTGTGAATGTTGATCAATTTTATGACAAGTGGTATGAATTAAAATGAAATTGCAACATCAACTCGAAAGTGATGCCCTAAAGGTTAATGCAGCTCAACCTCACTCAGAGAGGATCATTCGTGTTTGCGTCGTTAGTGTTGGATAGCGTTAATGATTTCGCTGTCAGAATGGAAGTATTGCTGAATAATACGCGATTTTGTTTAATATATTTTTAAAAATTTCATTTAGCGACTTTTGATAGACTCTCAATAAGTGGTGGTTATATTAGTTGATCAATTGAATTCGCAACCGCGAGCGATCACTGCTCTACGATGAGCATTTTGCGAAGATTAATAGCTTAGTGATATTGTATGTGTGATAAGAGGTGTAGTGGAATGGGATTAGCAAATGTTTAAATGAATACACATGCAACTGTTAATCAATAGTGTGATGGGGTTGTAATGATGGACTTAGTAGTATATATCAAAGCTATTTATTTTTAACCTAATCTTCTTGAATTTACTATACTGACATTTGATATGCACCGTGTTCGTTGGTTCAATTTTGGAACTTGTTGATGTGTTGCCTTTTGGAATCATCTTATCACTTCCATTCGAAGAATTCACTTCGAGTTATTGATGGATCCGGATCAGTCGATCATTTTTTAAAGACCGTAATTAATTCATTAATTAGGTCTGATTATGATTCTCTCGTTGAGATGAACGACATAAGTTGTTGTTATTGCGCTACTTCATTTTGAGAGTGACACTCTATTAGCTGTTTTTTACGGAAATTTTTGCACGTTATTTGAATTGCAGTCTCATCTCATAATGATAATGTGATTCGAGTAGAACGAGAAAAAACCAAAATTGTATTTATGCAGTTTTACCTGGCTTGCTGTCGAAATAATCTGTGGATTACAAGCAGCACCTCGGCGTTTGATCACCTCTTCATTTGAAGCCGTCAAAATAAAAGGATTCCTTGCGTAGAGTTCGAATTAAGAACGCTGCAATGGGTGATACTCGAACAGATGCAGCAACACCAGCCGAAGTATTACCACGTCCTTTATTCTCAAGGCAAAGTCTAAGAAGGGCGTCTGTATTCTCAGATTTAATGACAATATTTCGACGAAGCACATCCGGTAGTTCCGTTCGTCGCAAAAAGGCCAATCATGCAAGAACACCCCCAATTGAAGATTTAAAAAATGAATCGAATCAGTGAGTTTCATTCAGTAATTCCACTCGGAAGTATGTATTTACTATGCTCGTCGTCTTTGAAAAACCAAACGTACTCGAAATGGAGCAGAAGATGAAGCTTTGTGATAACTCGTTGTGGCTAAGTGATATGACTGATGTGAGAGAGAATGAGATGATCAGCTTATATTATATTAATATGTTATTGTGCATTACATAAAGCAGTACACTTCACTCAGTACTGCTTTACATTTTGACTTAAACACTTTCGCTGAATGCAGTTTGTATGTGATTAACCTGATTTTCAACTGCCCGATTATGATGTATTCATTGTGAATTGAAATTCAATGATCTTTTATTTGATCACTCTTCAACTGAACTTTCAACTATTTTCTCAGTTAAATTAGGATAAAATGCAGCAATATCAACAGCCACAACAGTAAGTCTGCGATTATTGCATTCAGAACGCAAAAGAAAAACAAATTGCGAGGATTTATTTAATCATGTTTAAAACGTAAAAGTTGTTTTGTTGGCTTGACTGATTCGGTCAAATTAACGACTCTATGTTCAGTGGACAAAAGGGTATTCAAATAAAATTAAGAACATATCATCCACTTTATACGTTCTTTGCTATCCGGAAGGTGTTTTTCTATTCAGAGAAACCGAGGCGTTTTTGGATGCAGACGCTTCAGCAGCAGCAGCAACAACAGGGGCGAATGAAGAGGAGGAAGAAGGAAAGCCTATGACAAGACAAGTTTTATTGGATAAGATACGTCAGAAGAAGGAAGTGATCGGAAAATTAAGATGTCAAGCTTGGTCGATGAATCGCAAACGGCGAACATTGAAGTTGGCGGCATGACTTCTCATATCACTCTCTTTCATCAATTCACGTTTTTTCATTGGTGCTCAGCAATAATTTTACATGAGCAAATCTCATTATCAGTTTGAGTAGATTGAAAGAAACGAATGAATCTTTGCAATGTGCACTTATAGTTAGATAGATGGATGAATGAATAATGAAAAGACAAATGTTTTTCATCAGTTTCAATTGAGTCCGAGATAGCAATGATGTTTGAGATTGGCACAGAAATATTTGGAGCAACACGAGTCGAAAGTTTCAAAAACGCATTTATATAAAGAGGAATTCAAAAAACGATGGCACGCAACCTGTCGATGGGCTGATAACATTCGTATTTACTTGATTCCATGGGAGGCGAAAATCAAGCGCATTGAAAGTTTGTTTCATTTTTGTTTATTTATCCATCCCGTTTCATCTCTCGACTCTCATTCAAACTTTTTTTTTCAACTTAAAATCCATTCGGACCTCTCATCAATTGCATTATTCGTCATGAAATTACCTTCCGAGAACTGACTCTCAGCAATGATGATGTGTCACAAATTGTCAAAGAACATTAAAGGTCATTTTGGTTCTGTGGTCTCTTCATATTTCACGTTCCTTCGGTGGGTCGTTTATGTAAATTTGATAATAACACTGATTATTATATCATTCATCGTCATTCCTGAGGTAATAAATCCTTTTAATTTCATTTTTCTCTCTTCATCTCAGTATCAAAGCGATCACACTTCTCTAATGGTCATTGTCGTAAGCTAAATTAAACTGCAAAAATGAAATTCATTAGCCAAATTCGATCATTTGCTTGCATGAGCTTCGTAGTTTTGAAAGTTCANAAAAAACTTGCAATTGCATCCTCATTTCATGCTGTTAACGTCAATACACGATGAAAATATCTGCAACAACTTGTCGCTTTGATTACTCAGCAGTGTTGCAGGCTTGAGTGATCGTTCTGCTGATTTTACACATAAGTTCATCAATATTCTTATAAACAACTGCTTGATTAGACCATTAAAAATATGTCGGATTGTACATGCAAAAAAAAGCACTAAATAATTTCATCGAATTCACGTACAGTCATCTGTTCTCACCGCACTACATTTAAGAAATCTTCGGCGAGAAAGCATGTTCGCTGAACAGATCCATGTTCGACTTGAATGCTCAAAAAGACAATGAACAAATTCTCTTTTGGATAGCTTTCATAATATATTTTTGAACGTTTTGAATAACATTGCAAAACGCTATTTTATTGAGCGTTTTGAAATTTGCAATTTGCAATGACTGAAGATGGGTAACAGAAGAGAAAAATGAGGCTGTCTGTGTCCATTGTTCAATACCAACAGCGCCTTGCACAATAAACCAATGTTCACACAGATTTAGCATCGTCTAGTTCTCTTCTTCACAACGCGATACAAGTCTGATTACAACAATCTTTTTATGAATAACATTTCCATTGATAGATGTTAGCAATGAACATTGTGGATCAATACAGCATTTGATTCATTGAA